ATTTGTCTAGTAGTTCCCACTGATTTTGCTTGTAAAGCGGAGAGAATGGTGCTAGGCTTTCCACACCGTGACGTCACTGACAGAAGATGTCAGGAGTAAAGTGTTACTATATTTGGACAGAAATGACCAGTCCCAGACTCAAAAATTATTTATTTAAAATTTTTTTTTTTTTTCATTTTATTTTACGGAATAATGCTAAATTCATTGAATCATTCTGAACATATTTGTTTTAGGTATAGATAATGATCCACTGATCATTCCTTGCAGACCAGACTTTTCCTTTGAGTAAAGAAACCTATATACAGGCAGAAAGTAATGTGTCCCTATGTAAAACATTGGCTTTCCAATACATAAAAGATGCACAAAGATCAGTAAAATGTGGAGATGAAAGTCATTTAAGGGACAACAGTTTTAGTCAGGAAAACTACTGCAATCAATAAAATAAATGAATTGATAAGTAAAACAAGTCCCAACAAGAAAAACTTCAAGTTTCAGGTGCTGAAATCCCCTCCGTATGTGTTGTCCGGCAATGCTGAGCTATAATTTAACCCTCACTTTGAACATGTGGTACTGCGGATGCCAAAAACATCAAGCGTTCATGTTAATCTAACTCACCATATTCCTGCCCTGTCAGTGAGAGTGGGATGTTGGCTTCACTTTGATTGGCAGAAAGCCTGAGAGCCATCTTCATCTGGGCCAAGCGGCTTTAGCTCTTAAACTGCAGGCTCCTCCTTTCCTCATCCACCGCTGCTACAAATGTGGCCATAACTACCAGAGGAGTGAAACTCAATCACCCTGCTTGTTGGTTTACAAAAGCAGGCAAGTGAATACAGATTTCACATTTTAATTCAAAAGGTAGTGAAGAAGGGAACATGTATACAAAGGCACATATGCGAACACACCTACTGACAGCCTGGAGTGAACTTTCTGGTGGCCTAATCCAGCAGATTAAGGCCACAGAGGACCAATTGAGCTCAGCTCTCAGGGCTTTCTACTCCAATGGTTGCTAAGCATCCAAATGACAACTGTTGTCAAACAAAGAAAATAAAAGATCCTGTAACTATTTCATAATAAAGATGGCTTAAGGATTTAATAATGTGGGCATGATACCTGTCTGTCTGTCTGTTCATCTATCTATTCTTTACATTACAGGACAAAACAAGCTATTGGATATTTATTAAGTGGAAAGGGATGGATGGATGGTTTTCAACATGTGAATAGGAGAAAAATATCTAAAAAATAGGATTGGCATTTATTTATCTTAATTTAATATGGCCTTCATGGAAAAAAGGAAAAATTGCAAGAAAACAGCAGTAGTAATAAAACCAAGAAGGTCCATCAAAATTTGGTCGTGATCCATCTGGTAAATTGCAATTACAGTGAAACATCTTGGTGGAGATATAACTCAGAACTTTTGAAATTTGCAGCTGAAAAAAATGTGGTTCTATAACCTTTGGGGTAATTAATACAGATGCACGATTTATTCTCAGTTTCTTTTTACTAATGTAAAAAAATCACAGATCATTCTCTTTACGTTTCAAAGCCATAATGAAAATAAAAATTAAATATGGATATGGGAATGTACTTTAAACCTCTGATAAGAAAATAAAATGCTAATCATTTCATAGTATTCACATTCAAAGATAAACCAGAGTGCTCTGAACCTCTGGGATTGGTGATAATTACTTTTAAATATATATACGGCCACACTAACAACATTGATTAATGGGTTTTAAACTGCCCTGACGCAGTGCTAGAACAATGATAAACGTGTCATCAAGATATAAAGAGTGCATCCAACGACATAAATGCTGCTTCCATGTATTTTGATCACTGGGACTCAAATACCCCACTGTGATTAAATCATACAAGGAAAAGGTTTTTTATTCCCTGGCTCTTGGATTAATAGCAATCAGCATTATACTTTTTATTGACATTTCAAAATCATAGAAATTAAACCATTAAGTTTTTTTTTTCTTTTTAGATTATCCTGGTTCACATTTCTTATTACTGTTAACTTTTACTTATATTAGAATATTGGTATGTTCTGTATTCAACCAACCCTTACAGCTCTGCACTAGCTACTGCTTTTGTCCTCAAATGAACTGCATCAATCCAATGTGAGTTCCAAAAATATTACATTGATCTGCTTTTGACATCATTTATTATTTGCTTCAATCAAAATTGGCTAAGCAGTTTAGCAGGGGGGGGGGGGGGGGGGGGGGGGCAGTCAAATGTAATCCCTTTCAGCAGTGAAATCCTCTCAGAATGATGACATGTTGCTTGTGTGAGAGATCAAAAAAACTACTGGCAGGAAAAGATAGAGGAACATAAAGATATTTCTACACAGCCATTTAAAGAGTCTAATCAAATGAATGGTGTTTAATGAAGGGAATAAAACCAATTTGGTCGTGATTAGCCATTAATTTACTGTAAAAGACAAAACAAGAATTCTCATCAAGTTTTAAACAGTATTACAGAACTGACACTTCTCAAATATTCAACTTTGAATTTAATTTAATTATTTAATTGTCAGGAAATGCAGGGACATCTCACAGAGGATAACAAAAAAAAAATAATACAAAACTTAATTCAATGAGGGGTCTTATCTGTATGGCCCTTTACTAATACATTACATCTGCCACTGTACCTTAAGCATAGATTTGCCTATCAGTGACCTTTTGTACAGAAGGCGTTTTAATTATCTACTAAATGTTGATTTGGTATTTTGATAATTGACATATAGGATTTTGTTCCAGGTCCTGCATAGCTGCTCCTCATGGCAACAAACCTGATCTGCTGTACTCTTCGGTAAAGCTTAGGAAAATGTTGCGTGTAAAGTCTAGAGGTAGACGTGAGTTTTAGAGGCGCTTGTTATGATTTGATCACTAAACTCTTGCTTGGACAAAACAATAAGTTATGTTATATAATTGTGAATGGTGCATGTTTATAATTAGTATTTCAGTAGGTCATGTGGAATTTGGTGTAAAGGGAAACTTCAGTTAAAAATGTTCAATTTACATCATATATCCTGCAATGAAAAAACAATAGCAGGGTACTGAGGAAGATTTCAAGCTACATTCCTAAACCGGATGAATATCATAAATGCAGTTAAACAGCAAATTGTGACGCAACACAAACCATATTAAAAGCATGTTCTCTCCACTCCTTCGTCTGGCTTCAAATGTTAAAATGATCTCTCTGATATGAAGTCAGGCCTTTATGATTTGAAGAGGTATTTTTACTGCTTACCTCCTGGTTGGTGTTTAGTTACATAGTGAAACACTCCTGCTGGTTTGACTAATAGCCAACAGATGGCGACATAGACTGGTCTGGTTGTACTTAAGCTGCTTAGACTTGCACCATTTTCTAAAGTGATGAAGAAATCCAGCTTAAAGTTGTTTAGTCTTAAGTGTTACAGTGGTAATCCACACCTCCATGAAAAAAAAATATTCTAAAATATTATTAGATATGTATTTTTGCATTTAGAAATGTGTAGCTTATCTGAGTGGAAAGTGTTGGTCATGGGGGTGGGGTGGTGGGGCTGCAGTTGTAATATGAGTTACCACCGGAACTGTGAGAAACAGAGAGAGAAATCTTCTCATCTCTGTTTCCCGCTGTGCCATGACAAGTCTCAAAGATATGGCCACTTTCTGTGTGCCAGCAGGGAACCACTTTATTATTTTGTGGGAAAAAATAAGGTGTCACGGATAGAGATGTTACATGTTATACAATGGTCTTATAACGCCTTCTGCCTGTTCTGCATTTCCTTATGGTTGAAAAATATATTTACCTTCTCATACTTAGAAATTTGGAAAGTTTATATTACCATAGGTTATCTATAAATCTATGAGTACACGCACACTTTCCTTACACAATAATGCATTGTTCTAAAATTATTTTTTTATCTCTGAAAACAGGCTGGGTGTGAATGAGAGCTAAAAGAGGGGATACAATCTACCACCACAGAGCGGCGCCATTCACACCAACATTAAACTCATAAGGAACCAAATGCAGCATAGTAATGATAATTATCCTTCCGCATAGTCTCCGTGATAGCATAAGTAATCTCTGGACCACCCAGTCCTATTTGTACGTGTTTCTGTTGGCAAAGCATCAGTAAACTGGGATGTTCCTCCAGTGGACTGCTGCAGCGCAGGGCAGGAACTTTGGCTGCACTAAGTCAAACCAGACTGCTGTGAGCGGTCTTAGAGGATGACACAAGGTGTGAATGATTAGATGACCATAATGATTTAGGCAGACATGAAATCTCCTCCAGATGAGTCCTCTCTCTCAGCAGAGAGCAAATCATGTAGCCAAGTACGGACGGCAACAAAGCATCTTTTCTGACACGAGGACCGGCATGTGTTTGAAGATGTTTTCTCACTCCATGCATTCCACCATTTCTCTCTTACCAACTCAGCCAGACAGACACCTCCGCTGTGAAGCTTTGCTTAATGGTGGAAGTGTTCAATAAACTCTTTCAATCCATGTAATTTGGTGAGAAGCCTTTCAACTAATTTCTTAAAAGTAGAGATAAATTACTTCCATGTGAACTTTAAAGCCAGCTGACAGAAACATGAGGTATGTGTGATTCTAAACATCTGGCAGGTATGTTTTAATGCGTTCAGGTTAATAGCTAAACATGATGAACGATGAAAGAAATGTTTTCACCATTATCTATTATATAATAAAGAGTTTGATCAAAACATATACATTAACTCTGGAGACATGCTCCCATATTGAGAATGCACAGCATCTTCTGGGCTGTTCTTTTTCGTGTGTTTTTTTTTTATTCTTCATAAATCACTAAAAGCGGCACTTATATTGAAAGAAAAGTATATATATTTAATGTTTCACCAGAAATAACCTTGCAAAGAAAACAAAATCTGTTCTGGTTTAGCTGAACTCATCAATAACGTCCGACTTGGATCCCAAAGTTAAAGCTGCAGCCAAAAGCTTGAAGGAAGGTAGAAACAATTTAACTTAACATCAGGAAGTGATACGGAATTCAATTTATTAAAAGAATGAGCAAAAATACACCAAATATGATAATGAGGCTTAGAATACGGTGAAAAGTGTCAGCAGAGTTGAATTCTACTTCTTCTTTCCGCTTTTTGCAGCTTTGTCCAGTCCCTGGATGTATTTGCGAGGGATCTGATAATGATCTGAAATTCAATTACAAAAGGGATATCATAACTCAATTTTGTAAATAAATATGGGACGTTACGTTATATTACATTACATTACTACTAACTATTAAAAAAGGTTCTTACCAAGCAACAGACTTCCAACCTGATGAACCTGGTTGCCTTGGATCTGGACCAGGACTCTGTCTTTAGCTCCAGGGAGGAGCTGTAAGACGGTGCTGGCCTGGACTCTGTGCTGCAAGGCAGAGGCAACTACTGCAGGATCCAAACCATACACTTCCAGATTTTTTATTAGAGTCACCTACAGACATAAATATACAAACAAAAATACAGAAAAACCCTAATAAACCTGAATTATGAAAGCCTTTTATTGATAACAGAGCAGGAAAAAAATGCTTATTTCAGACATGCAAGGGATTCATGTTTAGGTCATCAAAGTCCATTCCATTCACCCACTAAGAGCAAGATACAAGTAGTTCATTTTCTTTTAAACTATAGATTTTAAAACTCTCAAAATATAAAATTTGAAAAAAAAAACAGTAAGACTTTAAATATCTAAACAAGTCTACAGCTATTGGTTTCTTAAAACTTTTTTAAAACTAGTTACCTTCTTGTTAGAACCTCTAGAAGCTACAAAGATGTCTATTGGCTCAATGTGACCTTTCTTCACAACTGGGGCTTGTCCAGGAAACACAACCTGATAGCACTCTTGCATTTTTCCCAATGCCCTGTGAAAAAGATGATGATATGGAATAAAACCGGCAGACAGAGATATCACCCCCCCATTTTAACTCCGTCCGTCCATCTCCACCCTACAGCTCATACTGGGGGATCCTGAGGCATTCCCAACTCATACAGACTTAAAGATATCCAAATCCCCCCAACTAAGTCTTTTGGATGCGTAGGAGCATCTGCAGAGAAAGCTTGTTTCATCCGCCTGTATCCAGGATCTCACTCTTTTGGTCTAGAGCCGTATTTCATGACTAAACGTATTGGTCTGAATGTAGACAGACCTGTGAATGAAGAACTTTACTATTTGGTTCAGATCTTTCTTCAACACAACACACCAGAGCAGTGCATGCATTACAGCAGACAAAGCCCCATGCCGTCTGTCCATCTCCCATCAATCATAGCTCATCAACAAGATATATAGCTCCTAACAGTGACGACCAATTGCTGCCTTGAAGCCGGAGCTGACCCACCTATCTGTCTAATTTCCATTTCTTAAAAGGTATAGTGAAGGATTTTCGCAATTTTTTTACAAGACCCACCCTCTCCACTTAAAAAAAAAATGCACATGCACAACCCTGTACACGCTCCCGAAAGGGAACGCCTATTGAACACGAGAGCATGCACGGGTCCATTTCTCCTTGTGCATGCTCAGTTTAAAAGTTGCTGTTCTCATAGCTCATACAAGCTTACTTTGTCCGAACATCCACTCTAACCCCTAAATCTCGTAATCACTATATACATAGAGCGGGGACTATATAGTGGACTTTATAGTGAACTCAGTTAACTTGATCGCTCGGACGGATGGCTACTTTTTGCACCCTGTTGGTCACGTAGCTCCTCCTTCAATGCGCGGTGACGGCGCCATCTTTGTTATTAGTCGCTGGGAGCGGGCCACTGTGACAGCAAATACCATAAAGCATTCCGGGATATAACTGCCTCTTCTGAGGCCTTACTTTTCTTCTCATACACTTCGTCAACACTTTTTTCTTATGACCCTTGGCCTTTTTTAAAGAACTATGGTGAGAAAGGTGAGTTTCACTGACTGTCTGAAACGGTAGCTTACCACATACATGCCTGAAAGCTCGCATGCACAGAAAAAAAAAGCTGACGGCCTTACTTAAACATATCACCAGAATAATTGATAATTAGGAGGACCAAGTATTTTGATGACCCACCCAAAAATAAAAGATCATTCTATATACCTTTAACTGAATTTTAGAATAAAAAAAACAGTTTTACAGGTTGTCTAATTTAATGAGATGTAACCTCAACATCAAATTCCTCAGCGTTTCATCCACACCATCAAGTCATCAATCACCGGTGCATGCAGCATCATAACAGTTAGAAATTTTTTTAAACCAGTTAAACAAGACATGCAGGCAAAATCAGGGCATAACGACATCAACATGAAATTTCATAATCATAATTTGATTGTTTACCTGCTAAAGAGGTCATCCCATTTGAGAGACTCCACCTCTTGGTATTCTGATTTATCCAGTAAGCAGTCGCACAGAGAAGGGTTTATCCTCACGTAACTGGTAAAAAAAAAAATTAAAAGAGGCTTGGTTAAATGGTGGGACCTAAACAAGGAGCATGAGGAGTCGCTACACTCTGTCAGGTCGCAAATAGATTTGATCCAATTACAGAGTTCTTTCAAGACATCTTGAGAAGAACTTACTTCCGCAACATGAAAAGACGTATTGAGAGACATCTTTAGTGTGACATTTTTACCTTTTTAGATTGTAATGGCATTACATGGTCAAAGGGTCAGAACTATTTTAACCTAGCAGGGATGGTGCATTTTTTAGCTGTACAATAACAGTTATATATTCTCTTTAAATCTGTGCAGACAAAAAAAAAAAAAAACAGACACATAAAAACTGAATCATGTAATAATCTGTAAAGACTCAAATATCAAGTTTACTACATTTGATGACATAATTGCATTAGTTTGCAAAACATAACCAAATTTAATAAGAAACTTACTTTTTATTGTTTTCATCCACCAGCTCATTTTTCTTCACATATTCAGTGATTGCACTTCTGACTTCAGCAGGATGCATTATTGCTCCTTTCCTAAACGGGATCAAAGCAAACATCAGCCCCTTAAACAGAGAGAACGTCACAAATATTCCGAGATGTCAATCCTTTTTATTCTTAAAAGATGGAAAAATACATTTGCCGTTTGCTTCAACAGTTAAAATCATACCCTAAATTCCTGCAGGAATATGTGAGGGAAGTGCTGTAGGGTTTATTACAGGGCTTAACACCCTGTTGAGAGCAAAACATTATTTGTAATTATCCTTTTAAGTATTAATTAAATGCTAACCATGGACTTTGTGACCTAAAGAGTTGAGGCATATAAGTTATTTTAATTACTTCCTCAGGCCAATATACAGCACTTGACACTATCAATGCTACGAGCGGGGCTCCACTTTTGAAATACCGGCTATTTAAGTTGGGAGAAGAAGCACCGTCGTATTGAAGAAAGCGCCGTATTGCTTTATGGCCACAGGCTCTTATATCATCATGGAGAGCTAAGGCTTTTGCTCTACTACTGGTCATGGCTGAGGCAAGGAAAAACTTTAAACCCACTGAGGAAGCTAAAAAGAGAAAATGTGAACAGGTTTGTGCGCAAGGAAAAACAAGAGTCGATCAGGGAAAAGAGTTTGTTCGTTGCCATAGGCTGAAAGAAGAAGCCGGGTGTAAAGCCAATTGTCTTTCCTCAACTTTATTATTAGACTGGTAAGTTAACACTTTGCTCTGAGTATACTGTACAGTCCTATATCTGTTATTATTTTTGATTTTTAATAGAAGCAAAATATGGGCAGTTACAGGTCTAGCGCCTCTAGTGGCCAATAGTTACATGGTGTGCCTTTAATTATGGTTTTTCTCCAGGCCAGATTAAACATCCTTTAGCGAACTGTGAAAAATCCAACACTACAAGAAGCCATTAACAACCCCTGATTGTAATGTAAGCACTGCAGTCTATTTAAATTTATATTCCTTTAAGAAAAAATTGAGATGATAAAGATTGATCTGATGGAGCAACTGTGAAGGATGGTCAAAAATATTTTTACTAGGGCTAAAGTCAGGGGAGTCCCAAAACCAGTCTGATGAGTGTTTGGGATCTTTTTTCCCATCCAACTGGGCTGAATGTCATGTCACGTAAACCATGACACAAGTTCTGCTCCATCTTTTTCTACCCATCTAGTAGCAAATAGATGAATCTGTGTTCTTTCTGGCATCAGACAAGTTCTTCAGGAGGGATTTAGTTAGTCAACGTAAATCACAACACAAATTAGTTTATCTAAGGTGTCAATTTATGTTGCATTTTCCTCTTTCCAAGTATTCAATCTCACTTTGATTGCAGGGTGTTAGAAAAAAATGCTGAATAGATGACTCATTTTGAGAGGCCTTTTCTAAATAATCTGTATTCAAAGCTACAGTAAAATAAACTGCTAAACTTTAAATGATTAGTCTTAAAACGCAATTTTGTGATATAAAGGAGATTGTAGTTTATTTTATTGCATGGTTTACTGGAGTTCACTCTTCCAACGATAGAAGAAGTTTGGTTAAAAGGGGTGGGGGGTGGTTAGGGGATGGTGACTTTCTCGTAAACCGAAGGGGGGCCCAGCAGGGAAAGTTTGGAAACCACAGGCCAACATTAAGCTTAAGGAATGGTCTTGACCTCATCCCAACTGAAAATATGCATCCAATTTCTCTGTTGTACAAGAAAAATGTAAATGTATATTTAAATTACAAAAAGCCATTTTGCATTTAAGTTTGAGTACATAATCAAAGCAAGCAGACTGATGACCAGAACTATCAGAAATTGAGCTAATTTCCATCGTCTTTTATTTAGTTATTTCTAAACCATAGAAACTCATCCAGTAATCTTCTGTCTTTTTTTAAGATAGTTCATACAAACAGGCCAATAAACTAACAGTAGTTGTTACAAGGGGCCCATTTCATACTCTTTGCTATGCACTGCTTCTATGTAATGTGTATGTTCCAAGAACAACAAAGAAAGCAATTTGTCTGCTTTCTTTGTGGATTTAAAGCTTTATATTTCCTTGAAAGTGTAAGTAGAAAAGTATATGGCTCCACAACAAAGGAAAAGCAGAACAAAAAGGTGGTCTTCAGGTCTATAAAGACTAATATTTATTTGACTTTTACCTAGGCCATATTAACTTATCCCTTTACAAGAGAGAGGAGAGGTTGATGTCAGTTTAAGCAAACCCCAGACCCTGTCCCTGCTGGGGTCCTGCAGTATCTCCTCTAGGTAAACACCAGCTCCAGCCCTCGCTGTGATGGCCACCTGCTGCCTGAACCATGATAACATGATCCTGCAGGAGTCAGGGGTGAGAAGACTTCAAAGGGGACACACAAACACACACAGACCTCTTATTTGCATCCAAGAACAGTGGCTCCAAACGAGCAGAAACAGAGTATAGAGTAGTGATCTCTGGAGGGTGGTACTGGGCTTCCCCTTCTCCTCCACCCTGCACATCTGTTTTGTCAACACCTGCCTCTTCTGGAATGCTGAAGGACCGCAGTCTGTCAAATGTTTAGTAATTCAAAGGGAGAATTTAAAGGGGTGAAAGTTGCAGAAATGTATAAAACATTAATAAGCCGAAGCCCAGACAGGGTTTAACTCACTGTGGATTTTTCCAGTCCACCTCCACAATGCTCTCCACACCCTTGCTGAGTTCTTTCACTTGAACAAGATTATTCTGCTGCTGCATGACTTGTAGAAACCTGGACAGCTTTTGGAACGGTAGAACATACGACGAGTGACAAGAGTGTCCCATATCCATGAGTTAGCATTACCCTGGGGATATTTTGTACCTTTTTATAGCTGGATTTCTTGATATCAAGCTGCTTTCCACTTGGACTGGAAAACAAAAGATTGTCTCAGAAGTGCTCATTTTAGGTTGTTCTCAGCAAGTCTGAATAGAATGTGAATACTATACCAGCAGGAGAACATGTGGTTGCGTAGAAATGTACTAGTGAGCAGAGGAAGCTCTGACTTCTTAACCTTGCTTTTCAGAGCATGCAGGAAGCACTGCAGCAGCAGAGCATCCATTTCCTCTGTAAAAAAAGGGTATAAGAGCAGGAATGTATTTTCTAACGTTAAAAAAAAAAAACTTATTTTCTTTAGAGACACAGCTAGAACCTACCTTGTGGAGTTTTCTGTTCATCCTGGTTTTCCTCTTCGTTTCCGTTGCTGCCTTCCACTTGGTCTTCCTTCTTCTCAGTGACACTCAGCTCCTCTAAGCCACAACAAATTTGATCAGTGATAGTTTCATCAGAGCTCTGCTGCTCCTCCGTACCCTTTCCAACATCATATTCTCCATCTTCTTTCTCATCAACTTCACTTTTCTCGTGGTTTGAATCTTCAACTTTATCATCTTCGTCTGGTAAAGAGGGAGGGTTTGATTTATCTCCGAATGCCCTGTCAAATAAAAGAAATCCAGCGTGATTTAACATATGGTGACAGTATGAAGTAAGGCCAAAAAGGGATATAAAACAAAACCACCACCAATACCACAGTGCAAAGTTCACCACTTGTGTTAACACTGCCTTTCCTGTGTTCTTGCTTCCAGAATTACCTCCAGATATTTATATAAATGGCAAAAAATGTTATTTTAATTTGTGCTTTTTAATTATTTTGCTCAATTCTTTTAAAACATATATATATTTTAAAAAAATGGAGCATGAGTTGAGAAGCAATGTTCATTCAAGTTCAGAGTTAAGTTTTTAAAGTAGTTTTTTTTTTTTGTTGCTTTTCCAAGTCAGGTGATTTTAGATGCTGTACCCACTATTGATTTGCTTATACTGTAATACTTATGACTTACAGAAAACCAAAACCTAAAATTCTGTGTCTTACAAAAATATAAAATTGTATAAATGTTATAAAACACAACGATCTTAAACATATAAAAAAAAGTAAAGTCCAAACCAAACTTTTTCAATAATTTCAATGTTTTATCTGTGATGTGTCGATTGTCACCATTTAAATATTATGGGACACTAACAACAATACTAAAAACCCTAAAGATAGAGATGCAATAGAACTATATAACATATTATTTGAGTTTTAGTTTAGTTTAGACTATTAAACAGCAAAGGAACACAACAAGGAACATATTTTAGATTTGATCATCACTAAAGATCTAAACATTTCCAAAGTGTCTGTAACTAATTTTGCCCTATTTTACAACTTTCTGAGGTCAGATTGGGTGAAATGATGCCACCTTTGAAAGAATAATTTCCAGTGGCTCAGTTAGCCAAATAAATATAAGAAACTGGATCTTAAGGAGGACGCAACTGAAATCTTTAATTGCATTGAGTCATTTACTTCCACTTTGCACTATAACTCGTTCGATGAGCCAGTGGACACAACGCAGAGACATATTTCACAGATGGGCAACAAATGAAGCAGTCTGAGTATGAAGGCACTCTGGAACCAGATTGATCATCAGAAGCTCCTTACTTTGGCTAAGAAGAAGACAAAACTGTGGACAATTGATCAGCAGTTTACTGTACTATGTAATCTGTTGGTTCAATATTTTTACCATGTCTAAAGTCAGCAGTCATCTATTGACACATTTTACAGAAATGCTGATTTCAATTTCCAGCCTGTCCTTACATGCCCTATTCTCCATAGCATTGCTGTGCTTTGATGTTTTAACTGATAAAATAATAATCAATAAGCCATAATCATTAAAATTTAACAGAAATAAACAATCTAATCAAACTAAATGCAATGAATCCATAATATATTAGATTTGATTAAGAATTACATGGCCGATATAATTTATATGGTTGCATATAAGGGTTAACTGATTAATCTGTCAATATTTTTTTCAATTGACAATCTAAAAGCCAAAAGTTCCTTAAAGAAGAGTTTCTCCAAACTAAACCAGGTGAGAGTTTAACTTTTCCACTTAAGAAGTTTTGGATAGAGCATATTTACAGATGAAAAAGTTTTTTGTTTTTTGTTTTTATTTTAAATGCAAAATGTTTATATATGCTTTTTGTTTTTGTTTTTTCTGACAATTTTGGTATAATTACTGCTATAAGTGGGTTACTCTGTCAGCAAAGGCATGTTTTAGAGGCTCTATACTCCAGTTAATGATTAATCCATTAGTAAATTACTTAAAGATTATTAATCATGATTAATACGATTAATTGTCCCTTATATTTTACTGTTTGAAAACATTCTGATTTATTGTTTAGCCCAATATAAGACCCAAGTATATTAAGACAGTCTAAGATCTTGTTAAAGGTCCAGTCAAAAATCTTTCATCAGCAGTCAGTAATCTAGAATAGTTCGGGTTAGGCCTTTAGCTCATCGATTTGACCAGCTGAAAACCAAAGTAAAGCTTTCAAAAATGATTTATTCAATTCCCATGTTGTGAAAATGACGCAGATGTGACATCAGTGCCCCGTTTCTTTCACTTGGTGGTTGCTGGATTCTTAAAATCCTAAAAAGTTTTCTTTCATGTAACAGTGAAAGTATGTCTTCTTCTACACCTCGGCCAAGAGATGACACATCCAGACTTTTCAAACATGTGCATATACAAATATCTCCCTCGTGGAATTACATTGAGTTCCTGAACTCCTCCCTTTTTTTTGTTCTGCGTGCCGTTTTTCCAACATAGCTCACGGAATCGATGTTGCAGAGCTATATTACAGCCCAACAGATTAGCTTTCACATGCAGATCATTATGGTAGGACACAGAGACGGAAAGGGAGGTGAGGGGATAAGAACTAAGGGGAGAGAGAAAGACAGAGACAGGAAAGAGTGCAATAAAAGAGAGAAAATAAAACAGGAAAAATAGAAGAGAAGATATACAGTAACTCCTAGAAGTCTAATTCAACACCTGCATGAGATGAGAGGAACAGGGAACATAACAGCAAAATGAAGATAGACATGATAGCAGGTTTCCCCTAAGATATTAGAACCGATTAATCGGCAGGCTGGTTTATCAGCCGGTTTAGTGCCTGGCTCATTAATTCACATCAGCCAAAATGTGGCCGACATAAAAATTATATTTTTGCTGGAAACATCTGAAAGAAACTTTGGCCACACGCTGATTCGGCTCCTCTGCCCCTCTCTTACTGAGCTGCTCTGTGCCACCCCTCCCCTCTGTGAGCTCTATCTGCACTGCCCCTCCCCATAAACACACACGCTCACACAGCTGCTGCTGGCGTAAGCATGGAGGTGGACGAAGAGGTAGAAGGTGAGCAATTTAGTCCATGGTAAACTGGGATTATGTAAAACTACACTTTAGTGCCCCATGACAACAGACATCCTCATGGAAACACGCCATCAGTGCGCTTTAAGGAGAGCAGACAAGTTTTATATGCGCTAGTTTTGCTGAACATCTTAGCATTTTACCTCTGTGTACATTTTAGCTCTTGTGAAATAACAGAACTTTAGAAGGAAGATAAGATTATAATATTGTGTCCCACTGCACTTACAGACATGCAGACTGTTCCGAGGCTCATAAATTCAGAAGTTAATGTTTTCATTAAACTAATTTTTACATAATTTGAACAATTTTGTATTTGGTTATAATCTTGTTTGGATGTTATAAAAGCTGCAGCATCGCTATTTAAATCTAGTTTAGTTCCTTGTGTTCAGCAGAGGATGGAACTTTCAATTTGCTCGTAAATATGGCAAATTTAGAAAATTTAAAATGAACTGGATACAAACAAAACTCCCTTTTGGCTGTGTGTTATCACTTTAGACTGTTTGCAGTTATTTCATTTTTTTGAAAGGCTCATCTGTAGAACTGAAATCTAATTATCAAAATACATTAAATGATCATATATGTATTTCACAGGCAGAGGGGACCAACCAGGTGTGGAGCCACTTCATGAAGGATGTTACAACTGTTTGATAAAGCCTCTGAAGTTTTACAGATAGTCAAGGATCCAGCAGTAGTAAGGAGAAAAACACCTCAGATTTGAGGCAATATCTTAAAAAAGGGCAACAAAAACATATAGTGTTTATAGTCTTTTCTTTAGTAGAATGGATTATTACAACCAAAAAAGTCCATCCGGCAGCTACAGCTGATCCAAAATGTTATTGCCCGTGTTCTCAGTAGAACTAAGAAAGTAGACTACATCAGCCTGGATCTGAAGTGCTTCCACTGGCTCCCTGTAGCTCAGAGAATAAGCTTTAAAATCCTTATTTTAGTCTATAAACCAATGAATGGATCAACACCTCAATATATAACAGATTTATTGTCAGTGTATCAACCTTCCTGACCACTCAGGTCTTCTAGTTCCAGGCTACTCTGTAAACCTGGAACTAGAACCAAACATGGAGAAGCAGCATAGCATAGCTGAGCATGGTTCCTATGCTCAACATATCTGGAACAAACCCCAAGAAGACTGAAAAAGTGCTGAAAGCCTGAGTTCTTTCAAGTCAAAGTTAAAAACCTATTTGTTTAGAACTGCCTTTGACTCTTAAAGTTAAACGGTTAACTGAGGAATTATTAGTTTAAGGCAGTGGTCCAACTGTTTTATTGGTTTTACTACGTGCTTTTATCATCTTCTTTCTTTACTTGCTTTTATTTTTATTTTATTTTCCTACCATTTTTTTGTTTATTTCAGGGGTCTTCAACGCTTTCCAGGCCAAGGACCCCCAAACTGATGGCAAGATGAAGCGGAGACCCCCTAATTATATATAGTATGAAATTGTGTTACATCAAACTGCTCCTACAGTCACTCTATAACATATGGAGTCATGTAATGAAAGTAATTTAGCCCTAGAATTATTAAGTATTTCTGATTGGGATTCCTCATTGATGGGACAGGTGTTGTGAATGAAACGGTGCCACGCTGAATGTGTGCATTGATGACTCAAAGACATCTTCTGCTTCCATTTGTACTACATTGTGCTAAATTCATGTTAATGTGTATTCAAAGACATTTCAATTATTGGATAAACTGCAGGGGGGACCCCTATGCAGGACCTCCGTGGAACCCCTAGGGGTCCCGGACCCCCTGTTGAAGACCTCCAGTTTAATTCATGTAAAGCACTTTTAATTTTCCATGTACTGAATTGTGCTACACAAAGACATTTGTCTTGCCTTGGCTGTTCAGTAGGTGGGAGGTCAGCATCAGTAAATTCTAATTAGGGTTGTGCCAAAAGTCCTTCTGCCAGATTAACGAAAAAATTGATTGGAAGGCCGTGCACTGTCAGTCCTTTATTTAAATATAAATACTATCTAACTCTTTATTTTATCTACATCCTGAAAATGTGTAATGCATAAAATGTAAAAAATGCAGCCATATCTATATTTTAAAACAAAGTGATTATCTTTTCTGGTGTTTACAATGACACCTGTGTCTAACCTTGGACATTACAAACCACCATCTTCACATCTAAAGACAATATTTCATAAAACCTATAAAAAGTATTTATTCAGCTGGTTAAAATTGAAAGAAAATGACACTTTCCTTTTTCATAAAAAACATCAATGACTCAAAAAAGCTTGATTAGTGGATCTTTTCTGAAACAAAGCCACTCACCAGAGATAATCCATATAGGTGTGGAGAACACACACTCCTCTCCCTTTCATACCCGAGCTGTGCATCTCTGCGCTTGACATTGCAGCCTTGCCAACAGCAACAGGAGCTCTGCCAACAACCAGAAGATCACAGTTTTACTAATATCTTTGAGGAATGTTGAAATAAAGTATCCGCACATCTTTTCTATGTGACACACCTATTATTGACAACGGCAACAGCACAGCAGGATCCTGGCTTCACATCTGGGAGCCCACACGAAGGCACCACCACACCTGGCAGCATGAGATCTTGGGAAAAGAACATTGTTTTCATCTCAATTAAGACACTAAGACACATATCACACACCATGCTGAAATGGGAAATTTACCGGCCCCTCCGATCAACTTCTGAAGCACAGGGGCCCATGTTCTGAAGACTGGGAGGAGAGCAGGGTATCGCCAAAGCACATACACTGAAAGATGAGAGAAAAATAAACATTTATTACTCGTTAATCTCCATTTACTCTTTTTGTTTTTCTTTAATTACCTGTAGGATAAAGTCTTTTCTCCAGTTCAAAGAAGAGAGGGTTCTTATGAAGAACATAAAGGGTCACAGCTTCTCCTTTGTGCGCATAAATCTTGACAACATTAATTTCTTCTTTGTTGGGTACCAGCTCAGACAGATCATCGGCAGAAAGAGAAGGAAATGCTGCTGACAGGTCAACTTTTAGTTTCCTCCTAAATGATAATAAAGAGATTTTAATGAGATAATTAGCTACCTTATAGTAAACTCTCTATATAGCAACAATCTTCATAAATATTGACTACTATACTAACCTTCTAATAATTAAATAATAAACTATAATATTAAAATAACCATTACCACGACATCATTTAAATATACCAACCTATCCTATCAGGGAAGAAGCTGGGATTTATATTCAGATCATTCAAAACATCTAAAATCTCAGCACAGATAGGAGGTTTATGAAGGTATAAACATTAGAAATGTCTTAGCAGCAGTGGCTCACCTGTCTGATCCTTTCAGCACAGTATTGGATTTGACCCGAAACGCTTTGGCAAACATATTTTCCACAAATTAATACTTTCAAACGACTACTTCCGTGCATGAATCATAAAACACACGTTCTTTAATGCGTCAACAAATTTGTAGCCTAGAAGCACGTTTATACCGCAGAAACATCTTTTCTTTTTGCTTTGAAAAGATCAAGTGTTTTCAGTCCGACGCTTATACATGTCCGTGTGAAACAAGTTACCTAGTCATACGGAGCAATATGAGTTCCGGCTTCGTTCATACACATCCTTTTTCGTTGAAATTTTCAATGCTCTTATTTTGAATAAAATCACCTCTCTAGCAATTTACTTCTCAGCTCCCTACATACAGAGGGAGCTGAATCCAATGTTTTGGATTTGTTCTGTTTAAAAGGACTTAGAGTGACATATGGAGAATTTACTACACATTCTGATACATTGTCACTACCGATATCAATTTAAAATGTGTAATTTTACGCTGAAGAGAGCATAAATTAAAAGTCCGAATAAAGTTTTTATGGTTTTCTTTATCAAACTCTAAAGGATTTTATATATTTCTCTGCATACTGTGTTAAGGCAGACTAAAGCTATTGTACTGTGTTGGTTGATTGATCGCTTTGGTCAATAGACTCATGGTCCATAAAGAGATTATACACAACACAAAGAGTCAATACACAACAACATGACACAAAAAATAAAATAAATCGTATAAGAGATTTGCAAAGCAGCCCTGTGTGGAGGCACTCTATACTGTATATACTCCAGGAAAATTTTTTCTTCCTTTGGCACCTAACCCTTTTTGACTATTTGAGCTGATGTCATGAGTAAATTTCTCAATCAATCAATCAATCAACCAACCAATCAATCAATCAATCAATCAATCAATCAATCAATCAATCAATCAATCAATCAATCAATCAATCAATGTTTCCACAGAGCCCATTGGTATCTTGTCGAAATGAGAAAGGGATGTAAAAACATTACAATAAGACTGTTCAATGAGCTGCTCAAACCACACATAAACTTGCATATGTTACTGTTTTATAACATACAGTTTTCTACGGTGACCCTTTATTTGTATTTAATTGTTTAATTTAACAAAACATGCAAAAGGAAACTTCTCAGAATTATAAATACGATTTATCAGAGTATTGGCAGGCATTTATGCCAGAGTTTAAGTTTCATTTTATGCTACTTGTATTTAAAAAGTAACACAAAGCATTCTCATACTTCCATCTGTAATAAAAACTGCAATTAAAAAGTTTCTAAAAGAAACCATGTCATGAGATGAGTTCCATTTTCATGCACAAAGCATACCTTTATTTTCATCTCATCTGCTCTGGTTATTTGTGAATAGTCCTTAGAAACCTGATATGTTTTGCTGTAAACAGGATGAAGGCTTGCCTAACAACTATCATGCTTAGCTTCCCTGCCTTTTATCATATGCTCATAACAATTTGCAGAGTATCTTGCTGAACTCTTCAATCAGTTAAAGTAATCACATGTCTGATATCTATTCAACAACAGAATATAACTCGCAGTCTGTGGAGAGACACAAAGAATTTATTTAGATTAAAATGCAAGATTCTTTTAAATGGGTCTTCGTTGGGAAATGTAATTGTGACAAATCTAAGTCGGAAACTAACATTTAGAATATGAAAAAAATTAAGCTGTTCAGCGGAAAGGAAAAAAGGTATATTTATTGTCAAAGTCTCAGTCTCCTTAGCAGGTAGTCTGCTCTGACCCTTCCTCTGGAGAGCATCAGTCTTGGTATTTCCAGTCTAGTTTATTGTTAGGGGAACACCCAGATGTTCACAGGAGTCCAATATCAGCATCAGTTCTTTAACTTTTACCACTGTAAAGGACGTGGGTCTGTGTCGATAAAAGCCCATCATCAGCTCATTTAACATTTGATGCTTCTGTTGCTGCCAGAATACAAAGAAGCAAGGAAGAAACTGGTTCCTGGAGGAAGGGATGCTTAAATCTACATAGACTAAAAAAAGGAGATAAAGCTTTGCTGAGGAAATAAAGACCTTGCTATCATGCTGAGTGAACTAACAATCTGGCATCTCCTTAATGGGATCTTCTCTTCGAAGCCAACCAGTGGTAGTGGTCTTAGGCTCTGTAACTGATGTAGTAAGAGAAAGCAGCTCATTCAATTCCTGCTGCTGGCTCTCTAGTTCCAGCCTTTCCTGCAAAACTCAAAGAAAGAAATATGCAGACGGCCTGTTTCTAGTGTTTGCTGTGGTCATTAGACTCTGTGGAAGGAAAACTGTACCTAACTTTAGATAAAAGTTTGTAGAATGGTGTTCCTTGCCAGCAGGTTAGGTCGTTCGGCTTTGTCTCCTCTGTGCGGCCCGCAGGATGAAGACAATTAGTCTGCTGGGAACAAGGTTTTTTATGGCGAACTATTGCAGTGTTCGTATACAGAACATGTTCCTATTCCATCCTATTACATATTTATCCCATGGCTGTGAGGCAGAGCTTTGCATTCAACTGGAATGATGCAAAACTAGATCCATAGATTTTATAGGCATTTAGACAACATATAGTGTGGATTTGTTTATTGATAAGATGCAGCTGTGTGTTTCCTTACTTCTGAGTTCGACTTAAAGAGGAAAGCTATATGAGAAGCTGCAAAGCACCTAATACACGTAAAGATCATGTTAAAAATGTTTTATATTGCAACCATCTGAATTGGTTTTCTGTGACATATAAAAAGATGTTTTTTTTTCCACCAATGCCTTTCTTCAAAATGTCTTTGAGAACAACATAAAAAAAAAAAAATGACATTTAGCAGGAGATACAATTGAGCTAAATGTTAAAATTCAAGACAATAGTAGTTTCTTAATATAGGACAGTAAATCATAATCCAGTAACAGGGCCAGATTAAAATTGTTTGGCAGATTTTCAGTCATGCAACAGTTCTATGCCTTTAAAACTGTTCAGAACTTCAGCATATTTTACTCTTGGAATCAAATCAAACTGAAAGAAGTGATTGTATTTTACTATCATAATTTATCTACTGCTTAAACAGTTATTTATAGTTTTTTGAATAAGCATTAAAACATTTCTGGAAAAGGGTAGACATGTCTTAAAAATGAGTTAAGAGTAAAACAATTTTAATAGAAATGTAAAACAGACAAAAGAGAAAAAAACCCAACTTATACAGATCCAATGCAGAGCTAAAAACAATACTCCAAAAGCTTAAGGAGATTGCGATATTACTCCAGTTTCAGAACCTTAGTTGGCTGTTGCCCTTAACTCATTAACATTGGTTGGAGGAGTGGAACAAATCCTGCTGAGTGTGCAGACTGGGTTTGTGGTCCCAGTCATAAAAAATCAGGGACTTGAGAGCATGTTCCAACAATTGAGTGATCAGGCTTCCAGGACTTCCTTAGTTTACCCTAGGGTGCTGGAAAACACCCTAGGGTTTCTAGGGGATCTGGGGTTTTTAGTTCTCTAGTCTACATTTTTCCATGGATATGGAGGAGGTATACAACCATCTTCTCTGAGGTATTTTGTGAAGGATGAATAGAGAGAATAAAATCAGAATCATCTTTAGTGGCAAATTCTCTGAACACATTATATCAACATGATCTAAATGTCATCTGAATGACAGGTTGCTACCTATATATCAAAAGCAGGAAAAAGTGCGACAAAATTCTTGGCTTAAAGTCAAGTTTGTTCGGTTCTTCATGCCATGACCACCAGTGTCCACGAAAGCAGTTTACAAAGAGGTGTCAAGTAGCTGAGATGCAAATAGACTACTATGAGGTCATAGTACTTAACCAAAGGAAAGTCGGTCTACTCCATTTTGGTAATAACTTGTCCCTTAAAAGCTAAGACAGATCAAGACATGCCTACTTGTGGTTTAAAAAAAAAACTATCACCAAGGCAACTCTTAAATAAATAAATCATTTCTAAATTGTAAATAGTTTTTTCCTACTTAAAACATTTCCACAGTGCTTTATAACAACATTTTAGACTTTCTACCAGCAGCTGTCAACATGTGGGTTTTTTTTATTTAATAAATTGGTATTTGAACTACATGTAGAACATCTATGAACATTAGCCTATGTAGTCTTGCTTTTCAGAATGAAAAAAGTCTGTTTACTTTGGCTGAAACTCGACAATCCTTCAGTCCCCAGAGAGGGAAATGGGCGCCGGATACATCTAACCATGCTTTAAAAGTCACGTTTGTCCCATAATTTCTCTGTAACATATTTATGAGGTTATGTCTGTGCCAAAAATCATTTGTAGTGCTTGAGACAGATGTAGAGACAAATGCTCAGTGGAACAGTGGGAGGTCTGCTTATGCATTATTGAGCCTAATATGGTTCCGTTTTTGTGTTGTTTTCATAAGCTTTTATTGAAAATACATTCCCTTTAATATAACCCAGCATGGTCAAGGTATGGAACTGAATACTTGCAAAAAGTATTCATTACATCATTACTACACTGAATTTGAAAATGATCAAATAAATATAAGCTGTGGTTGGTCTGAATTTGAGAATGACAGATAAAATAAAAATTAACACCTCCATCCTCTGAAAAAAGGAGAAAATACTTACTACTAAAAATACTAGAAATCTTTTTTTTTTTTTTACATGAGACCTACATAGAGCTATATATTGTATTGTAGCTTCTTTCTTTTTGCAAAAAGAAAAATGAAATTAATGTTAATGAATGAAATAGGTTCTAGATTCTATTCCTGGCCTGGGTTCTTTCTTCATGGATTTGGCATGTTCTCCCTGAGCATGCGGGGGTTCTCTGTGGGTACTCCGGCTTCCTCTCACAATCTAAAAACATTAGGTTAATTGGCTTCTCTAAATTTTCTTTAGGTTTGCATGGTTGGTGGTCTCTGCGTTGCCCTGTGACAGACTGGCGACCTGTCCAAGGTGTACCCCGCCTTTTGCCCATAGACTGCCGGAGATAGGCACCACCCCCCCCGTGACCCTTGACAGGGGCTAAGCAGGAGAAGATAGATGGATGTTTAAGGTAAGGATGTACTCTAGGGTAAAAACATTGTGGTATTATTTAAGCTGTCTTTTAAGATTTATGCTTTCCTCTAAAACATACTTCTCAGGTTGCTACAGATAAGTTATTGTCATGATGGGTTGTGTTACTAGCCCAAATGCAGAACACACACGGAGGAGGCAGGGAAAAAGTTCAGAGGTTTATTAGAATAAGCTGATCAGAATGTCATCAGGTCCAGGGCTGGTCTAAGCTGGGTTCCTGCCTGGAGCTGAGTAGAGCAGCAGAGGAGATAGTCCAAGGAGGATTCTGAGGCTGGTGACTGACTAGGGGCTTGAGGCTTGAGGTTAGCAGGCCGTAGGAGGGAACCAGGAGGGTTTGGAGGCCGGCTGAGGTCTGAGGCTTGAAGTTAGCAGCAGCAGCGTCTAGCTTCTGGCTAGTGAACCTCAAACGTGGGTTTGGTTCCTAGCTCTTCCCTGAGAGCTGAGGGAGGAATCCAGACTGAGATCTTCAGGTTCAACTTCCTAGCTCTCCCCTGAGAGCTGAAGGAGGAATCCAGGCTAAGACCTTCAGGTTTGGCTTCCTTGGGCAGGCAGGCAGGTTTCCAGACAAAGCTCATCCAGAGCTTCAGACTTCGATCAGGTTTCCTGTGAGCAAGAAGACAGAGACAGGTTAGAATCTGGTTTCTCTCTTGAGAACTACTAAGATTCTTTTAAGTAACAGAGGCTCAGGTTCGCTAACCAAACTTAGTCAACACTGCGGCGTTGAAGACAGGTCTGGTCGCTGCTTAAGTAGGAAAGGTCTCCTGATGGGCTGACGAGCTTCAGGTGTGCTGGAGGGCTCCAGCCCAGGAGACCCACAGCGCACTCTGCTGGAGACAGATGGTAACTCTCCAGATCCCAACAGTAACCCCAGTCCTAACAGAAAAACAACATAAAACAGAAGAGGATCCTCGGCGCCCTCTGGTGGGCAAGTCTGAGGATCCCAACAGTTATGGCCTGTTTTTGTTCAGGCAAAATTTTGCAGGCCAGCTGACAGCCTTAGCCTGGCAGAATACACCCCTGGCAGACCACAAGCTTACTACACCAAACAAAATGTAGAAGTGGAGAACAGTTTCGAAAATTTTCAAAGCCTTTTGTGTCATCCAAGAGTGTGTGTAATTTCTCTCGAAGAGTTGTTCACAACCTGATGATTGTACCGAAGTTTATGGTTCAAATCATAAGATGTCTACAGATTCCTATATAAAAAAAAATGGCAGTAGGAGCTGTTGCTCTTACACCATGTTTCTCCACATGTAGCTGTCTTTTTTCCAACTTTCCAATGTGCATGGTGTGTAAATTTAGGCCGCGAGGAAGGCCCTGGTGCTAAACTTACTAAATTTGGCTGCACTGACTTCGCAGAAGCATTAGCATTAGCCTCTGATTATATTAACTACATTGGAAGCAATCGAATATTCACATTGTAACTAAGCAAAGCCAATCAGAATAGCGAAGCAATCATTCTTTATAATTGTACTCGTCGTCTCTTCTTATTGAGGACCAGGTCGTGGGCGCAGCAGTCCTCACCCCATCTTTAAGGGAGTGTCCAGCCATGCCGTGGAGGAAGCTAATTTCAGCCGCTTGTATCCGGGATTTAGGTGAGGGTCGGAACATAGACTGAATGCTATAATTGAGAGCTCTGCCTATTGGGCCAGCTCTCTCTTACCCACAAGAGAAAAGGGCAGCATCAGCATTAATGCGGAAGCTGTATCAATTTGTGTATTCATCTCCTGCTCCATTCTCCCCGCACTCATGAACCAAGAGATACTTGAACTGCTCCACTTGAGACAAGAACTGTCCTCCAATATGAAGAGCACAGACCACCCTTTTATGGTTAAGATGGTTAGGGTGTGCTCTACATCTTGCGTGGGGGCTTCAACAGTTTTTTTTTCCAACTTCTCATATCTTTGTTCAAAACACATAGAACTCTTATTTTTAATTATCAGAAGATTTGCTGAAAATGCTGCCTCAGTAAATGGTATCAGAGTGAAAATAAATGTCATGTAGCAGAAATATGAAAGCGTTAGAATTATTCAAATTAATTAAGGAAAATAAGTTTATATCATCACATATGATCAAACAAATGGAAGAGTAAAGACAATTCTGTTAAAAAAGAGTAAGATCAGTAGAAATAAGCCCAGCATGGAGAGTAATGTTCTGCTGCATTCTTTAGTTTTACTGACGATTTATTACCTCGTAAATTTCAAAACAACATTTGTTTCAGGTCACGAAGCATGGTCAAAGGAAAAAGAATAAAGGGGAGTTGGAGTAAAAACCTAGACATATTTAAAGGAAACGTACTTATTACCTTATCAGAAATGATAAACAAAAAATAATTGTTGAAAAAGAAAGTCTAGAAAACATTAAATGAAATATGAAAAATCAACAGTATTTTTTTGCATTCCTAAAGTGTTAAACTATTAGGCCTATTATTATAATATTGATGATTCATATTTATATATTATTTTGTAGGGACTGCACAGTGCCTTCCAACGTTACATTTCCACTCCAATACAGAATCTCAGCATTGCACTAAATCTACACCTAAACCTTGTTGGTTTGATCATAAAGTTTTTCATGGCTTTCTTAAAATGTACCTTTTTTTCTGGTTTCATTCCATTACATTTAATTCCACTGTTTCTCAACACTGAAAACTGTAGAATCAAAGCTTAAGATAAAACTCTATACAATTACATTATATGCCAGAGGATGCAATTGATTATTCTCTTTTTTTCTTTTGTCCATTTTTTTTTACCTTCTCTCTCTTTTAAATGTTTTTCCTCACCTCCTTTTTGTCTTTTTCTATTTCTTTCTATTGCATTTAACCTGTAATGCTCCACATGTAAAAGTAACTCTGTTTAGCTTATCTTTGGTAGAATTATTCAAATAACTTTACACTGTATACAAGAACAATTCCAATTTTAAAGTCAAGACTTTAGACTTGTTCTTGTGCTCTAAAGTCTCTGGGCTTCAATCGGATTTGAGGTCTGGGACTTGGACATCATGAACAACCTATATCCCATTTATCCCACTCAGAAACAAGCAAGGAAGTGTATGTAATGGAAGCATACCATCAATGTTGTATTAACTATGTGCAAGTAAAAGGAGTTAACCACAGCTTCTACATTTGTATCTGTTTATCAGATACAAATGCTGCTCTAATAAAAAAAGAACATAAAAATACATGAAATCATGAATTAATCTCTGAAAAAATAGGTACTGTATTCAAAAATTGCATTCCTTTTATAGGTTTAATGCATTTTAATCAATCTTGAAATAATTCTCTTTTTAAGCATTCTCGTTCATCACTGTATCTTGGACCATATAGAAAGTGTTTCACAGATTCTCAATCTTGGCTCAACTAACCTCAATCTGTAACACGTCTTCTTAAGTATCACACGCTTGAATTATTAGTCTCCCTCTTAAATAACTCAAATTTTCAGGAAGCCCTATGGTAACAGAAATGCCTTAAAAGTGAAAACTTACAGGTTTAAATGTATTTCTTTTCAGACAAAACCAAGGAAATATAAAAGCTAAACATTAAAAAAAAATTTTTAAACTTGCAGTTTGACATATGGTTGTTTATTTTAAATAAATGTTTGTTTTTGTAGACTAATGGGCCAGAGGGTTTTAAATTATTAGGTTTTTTTATAAGTAAAACAACTGCTTTCCTCTGCCAACCAGCTGATATACTACAGTACATCTTTAAAGAGGTGGTGACAGAATTGTATTTAATTCACAGAATTTGTGCGTTAACAGTTGTTTGCCAAGTTTTTGTTAAACAAGTAATGGCAAAGTGGTAATTTAGTTTTCTGTCAGCATGACCTCAATACCTCAGTATGAGAAAAATGGTTTTCTTTTGTTTTTCACTGTAATTTTAACCTCATTAGGATTAATTACCTTAGGAAAAAAAGCTAAAAGATTTTTAAATCCGCAAGTTGTCTTTCTTTTGTGGGGTTGGAAAGGAAATACATAGAATTAACTTAATCACCTAAACTCTGAGTCCATTTTTCCTGGCCTAGAGGAATATATAAGTAAGGGGGCCTTTACTGAATAGTATTTAGAGCAGGATAATGGTTCTCTGATGTATGCAGGCGCCAGCAAAACCATATGTGCGAAACCTCTCAACAGGCTCTATACTGTAAAGGGCACAAGCAGACGTTGAAGCCTGTAAAAGAAAAATGTAATTGGAGGATGTTCTTGGACAAATAGCCAGGTTAAGCATACCTTGTTGACGCATGCATTCCATTTAAAGTGTGAAAAGGCATGAAGAGACTCGGGGATAGGACTCAAAATTATATACTTACCACACTTATGATTAACGCATTGATTGTGGTTGATAAAACTCTCAATTCCTTAGGGCTCAAACTTCTCCAAAACTTCAATGACACAACAGTAGATAGCAAACCAGAGTACGAAGAGTCATGCTAATGACAGGGAATGTCTGTGTAATGGATGAAAGACATGTTAAAAAGCAGATGTCTTCACTATTCCCCAGATGGCACTGATATTTAGATTGCTGCAGGTAATAGGTTGTTGTGTAAGTTACATCAAAGTGAAAAAAAGGCATATGCACTAATGAAACAGAATGGATGGGGCCACAGCTGCAGAGAGGGTTGGTGGAGCTATTTATCCTCAGTAGGCAACATATTCTACTCATTCAGACTGAAATACAAGAGAGGGGAGATTGGCAGGAGACATCAAGAAACTGGTAGGTACCGCATCAGTTAAGTTTGATTTTAGCAGTAGGAGATCTGTATTAAGAACATAAACTGACTGCCTTCATCTTTAAAACAACCATTTTTTTGTATCTTTCCTTAAGTGATCATGAGGACATTGGTGCTCTTCCTTTTAATGGGAACAGTGGATGTGACCATCAGCCAGAGCTACAGCCCCTTCCAGTGGCTGTCTCAGCTACGAGGCCGGAGGCAGAATGCAGGCTGGCATTCGGAGGCTGCAGATTGCCCCTTGGAGTGTGACTGCCCAACAACCTATCCCCCAGCTATGTACTGTCACAGCCGCAACCTGCAGCACGTTCCCTACGTTCCGTCACATATAAAGTATGTATACCTGCAGCGTAACCAAATCACAGGCATTCAACATGGCGTGTTTGACAATGCTACAAACCTGATGTGGGTGATTTTATCACACAACAAGCTCAGCTCAGAAAAACTCAGCGACAGTGTGTTTGTCAAGCTGGAAAACCTGGATCGACTATATCTGGATCACAATGAGCTGACCCGGGTGCCTCGTAACCTTCCAAGTTCTATATCTAGACTGCAACTTTCCCACAACAAAATTGCAAAAGTTTCCTCTAAATCATTTGATCGGATGTCGAACCTCACCACCCTTCAACTACAGGCTAATGTCATAGAAGAGTTAGAGGGTGGGTTTAAGGATCTAAAATCTCTTACTATGCTGGATATCGGGAAAAACAAGCTAAGGAAAATCCCCGACAGCCTTCCTGAGAGCCTGCAACAGCTCTACTTGGAGTTTAATAAGATAGAGAGTGTGCCAGCTGGTTTTCTTACTATGTATCCCAACCTGCAGTTTGTCCGCTTAGCTCACAACATTCTGACAAACAAAGGACTTCCCTCCAGTGTCTTCAACACAAGCACACTCGTTGAGCTTGACCTGTCCTTCAACAAACTGGAACAGATCCCTAATGTCAATAGGAACCTGGAAAATCTGTATCTACATGCCAATAAGATCAAAGGTACGTACACTTATATGGAACCTAAAGGAAAACAAAATACAACTAAGGTTTAAAAGGAGAATTTTGAATATTTTATTGTTTTGAATACTCTATTGCTTTTATGCCTAGAATAATACAATTTTCATTTTCAATCACTGAAACAGGACATAATGGTTTACACCTGATTTCATCATCTCGGTAAAATGTTTATCATGCCCTCAAAAAGCCTTTGTTAACACAAGTCTTGCTAACAGGTCACTTTTCTTACAGCATTTGTAGTGATAAGGACGATGAAGTCATTTCACAAATCCTTACTGTTGCAGCACTACTTCAGAGTGCAGGGCCACATCTGTTTTAATCAAGAACAAACAGTATACAATTAGTCAATTATATAGCCAGCAATTGGTAAACAAAATACACAAATGCTAAATGCTGCATGGATTTATGCACTCTTAAGATCAAATGTGACATAAGTTGACATTAATGTTGAGTTTTTCACTAATGATTTAGTTCTGTTAGTTGTTTTTTACTTATGTATTTATTTATTCATTGCTTTCCCATATTTAATTTCCTTAAGATCATGTTTGCTTTGTGTGTAGAATGACTTTATTATTAATATTTAGTCACTTTTAGATGTTTTCAATCTATCATTACTTACCTTTGCATATTCATCTCCTTTTATTGTATACATGTGTTTAATGGCCTCAGTAGTACTTGTCAGGCTTGCACACAGCCAAGACATCATATGGGTCCCTACTCATAGCATGTATTATGTTGCCATCCCCCTGTTGCTTAAATGCTGTCTCTGTTTGCAGCAGTTTCTAATCATTTTGCTGCTGTGCCAGAAATCTCATGATTGAAATGTTAGTGAAATGTTACAGTACGGAATTTTTTAAGAGTTAAAAGTATTGTAGAATATCTTTAATTATGGTGGTCAAGAGGCGCAAACGATGTGCAAATCAATTATTTGACATCAGATTTGGAAAGTTTTGTAAACACAAATGTGACACTACTAAATAAAAAAAATGAGATGAACAAACACAAAACCTGAACTAGCAAACACTCGAGTTAGAAGTAAACTAACGTAAATATAGATGCATGAAAAAAAATGCAGTAAAGTAAAAAAGCTGTGATAACTGAAATACAGAGAAGCAAGGTGGAAATGCCCTGCAAACATAATACCCACTGAAAATAGATAAATTATGTTAAATCACAAATCCATGCAAAGGAAAAATGCTGCAAGCAACAAAAACAGTAGCAAGTTAAAAAAAGCTGCAAACTACCTCTGGATATAGAAGTGCTCCAAACCTATAGGGGAAACGATAATCACCTCATATGTGACCAGACCATTAGTCAAGGCATAAACAAAATGCTAAGAGAGATGGTTTAAAAAAGATTAAAAGGAAAACTTGCCTCGTCTTTATTCCATCCAAGCATCCCTGGAAAGCATTCCATTCATGTTTGAAACAGCTCTGGTCCTTAACATTAACTGCTAATAAGGTAATGATCGTCTCTCCCTAGAAGACTGCCCACAAATAATAACAGACTAGTGAAACAAAACAGGAACTAAGATCAACAATTAGAAAAACATGATTAGAATCCATAAACCAACACTGCACCATAGATAAAACAGGTATTTTAAAGGTATAGAGGACAATCTTTTATTTCCAGGTGGATCATCTAAATAAGCGGTCCTGCTAATTGTCATTGTGGATGATATTTTTACGTAAAGCCGTCCTACATGTTCATTCTGTTTGCTATCTTTTTGCACACATTCAGGTGTATATCCATGGTGAGCTACAGTTTCAGACATTCATTCAAGCTCACCTTTCTCACAGAGGTTCAGAGAAAAACTGTCTACGAATTACATATGTGATGAAAAGAAAGGCCTCAGAAGAGGCAGATATATCCCGGAATGCTTTGCACGGAGGAATCTCCTCACAAAGCATTATGGGATTTGCTGTCACAGCGGCCCGCTGTCGCTATAGGCTGTCGTTACCCGAGAGCGGCGACTAATAACAAAGATGGAGTAGTCACCTTGCAGTGGAGGAGGAGTTACGTGATCATCTGCCCAAACGGTCAGTTAACTGAGTTCACTATAAAGTTCACTATATAATCCCCGCTCTATATAGTGATTGAGGGATTTAGGTGTCAGGGCGGATGTTCAGACACAGTAAACTTGTATGAGCCATGAGAACAGCAACTTTTAAACAGAGCGTGGACAAGAAGAAATGGGCTTGCGCATGATCTCGCAACGTCGTTCGCTCTCAGGGTACAGGGTTGTGCATGTGCATTATTTTTAAAGTAGAGAGGGTGGGTCTTTTAAAAAAAATCCTCCACAATACTTTAAAGTTCAGTCCAACAGTAAGCAGCATGCTCCACATACTGAAAGGTTTGGTCGTAAGCTGAGCTTTTGATCAATGTACTTTGGAATAAAACATACTTAAAGGGGGTCATAGAATTATTATATAGGGCATTTGGTGCTGGTCCTTAAAGTCTCTGAATAGGGTGTGTAACATTGGTTGGGCTCAAAATGGCATATTTGCTCTTCTATGAGCTCTGATATAAGCCTGGTTCAAAGCCCTAGAATGAAACGACAGGTTTTCTTCTTTTTATGGTGTGCTCATGAATATTTAGATGAGCTGTGCGCTGATTGGTTGGTTTACAACAAGCGAAGCTGCTGAGCAAAGGCGCTTCATAGCAACAAGCACTCACTGAAACATTGAGATTTCTGATATGGTAGGGTGACCAGACGTCCCCTTTATCCCAGACATGCCCTACCTTTCACACCTAAAAAAATGTCCGGGGGGAATTCCAAAGTCGTCCGGGATTTTGGTTGACTACAGTGCAGCACAACCGAGCCGGCAGGCGGGGGGAAGCACGGGGGGAATCACGCTAAGGCAAGCATACCATCACCGGATCAGGTTCGGATCAACCCCGGAGCTGATGGTTCAGTTCGAAAGCCCGGGTCCGCTCCAGTCAGCAAACCAGCTCTGTATGTCAATTTCGGGGCGTGACAAAAGTACAGGCCAGAACCAAATAGGACAACATCCCCGAATTGATGTCAAATCGTTGCTTCGTTTGAATTTGCTCGTTTTATGGTGGAAGTTTAGAATTGTGAGATTTGCAGAGAAAGGAGGTGTCGATGGGGTTTGAACTTGTCTGTATGTAAATTTCACCCACTGAACTATTGTTATTCATCTATGACAATGTAAACTCCGTTTTGCGTTCTATGACCCCTTTAAGCAAATCTAAAACACTAACTGTGGAATAAAGCCAACTTTGTGCAATTTTGTGCCCCTCCCTGTATTTGTTTTCACTCTACTTTTAAGTCAACCAATGCGGTGGACAGTAATATTTGGGTCTTTTTGTACATTCAATTGCTCTAACAGCTGACAGTTTCCACCAAAACCAAAACCACAATTCCCAGATAAGTTCTATGAATATTTTTCAGCTATTGTTAATAAATTTACTGTAATGGTTGTATTCATCTTTCATTTTTCACAAATGTTGGTGGTGGAAAGATCCTGGATCATTAATCATGATTGCAAGATGTTCACAAGCACTGCCTCCTTAGTTATACAATGTGTTTACCGCCATGTTTGTAGGGATACTGAAATAAAAATTATATGATATGTGTAGTTAAACTTTAGCGCTTCGCTGCACAATCAAACCCGTTCTTTTATAAAACCATTAAAGAATTTTGATGGTAAATAATAAATCACAATGGTAAACTTCCCTTAGCGTACAATAAACACCAAAATGTCCAAAGCTTGCCAAATGATTTAGATGGAACTATAACTGCAACTGCACAGTTGCAGTTAAGTATTAAAACTCAGAGCAGAAACTATTAAATTAAAACATTTTAACTGCCACAAGCATTGCACTCTGCCAAATGTCCTAAGAATGATTGCCATTATTGCATAAAATTAGATTAGAAACCACAGCACCTTTGCATAAGAAATGGAGCACAGTTAACGGCCTACTGGTGTTTTTCTAAAGTTTTATTTCCTTAACTTAATGAGTATTCCTGATAATGTATCCCATTTTGTTATGGAACTTTGTAGCCACAAATTAGGTTATACAAAAGTTGAGTTTTAATTGTTTCTTGCATTTAAAAAACACATAATTTAAAAATAAAATCCGCAAATTGAGAAAATGATGGATGATCTCAAACTGTACTGCAACTCTGTTTTATAAACAAAATGGCCTAGTTTCATTTAATTGACTGAGCTAGTAAGAGCTGATAAGCAAAAACAGCTGATTAGTTTTTTTTAGCACATTAGTTTTGCTTTTTATAAAGTGAGACAGTAGATTTATTTGATAACTTTAAGTGCAAACTAGAGAATACACAAGTTGTCTAAATCCGAAGGCAAGGTAAATAAAAAAAACAAACAACATAAAAATGAAGAAATACATTTTGACAACATAATTACTTTTGCAATTATGTGCTCACATAGACGTTGGTCTTTATGCAAGAGAGAGTTTATATTGTTAATGAAATCAAGCTTTGAGAGTTTTTTAAACAGGATCAAACTGCAGACAGGAACTTGGTAGTTGAAAATTAATACGATGATTCAATTATAGAATTAAGAGCAAACTTAGAACAGAAACAAGGAATCAGGGCAATGAGCATGAAAGGGCAAATTGTTAGAGTAAGGGACCTGTTGTGCAATTTTACCAGCAGATGATGAATATATCAAATAACTAGAACTGGAAGTTATAGTTAATTAATAGGTCATTCAAATCATGAGTAAAACCAATTTATGATAATAAGTTAAATGATTATACCTGTAATCTGCTTACTCACTGTGATTGTTTAGTCTTCTGTCCAAAGTTGGACTTCCTCAACTGGCTTTTAAAATCCAACTGTCTTTACCAATTTAGTAATTTAGACTATTTTTATTAACAGTTATTAACCATCAAGCAAAAGAAAATGTCTTTGTTTATTCAAGTGTTAACCAGAGGAGGGTGGATCTGCCTTTGAATGATAAATCATTCACTGCATAAATTATCACAGA